CGCGACGGAAAATCGCTGAAGTTCTTGTGCGGAAAGTTCCAGATGACCAGCAGGTGAGCTTGTGATGCTTCAGTCAGTTTCCATTTAATTTCTATTGAATTGTGGTTGTTGTGGTTTTAGTTATTGTATCAGTCATGGCACATTTTGTTATAGGATCTGTTAAGAAAACGTTTTGATGAAGATGTTTTAAATTGTTTGAATTATTTGTTAAAAAAGCTTATATTCTTGCGAACAACTATTACTGGAATAAAATATATATTATTATTATTTATTTAAAAAATACTAAATAAAAAGTACAACATTTTTTAAATATTAAATATAAAACATACAAAAAGTTTTTAAATGATTATATAATTTGCATTTTTATAAAATTTTTTTTTTTTTTTTGTATTTACGAAAAAGGTCTTGTAAAAAGGATAAAAAAAACTTGTAAAAAAACTTAGAATAAACTAGGAATCATTGGAATAAAAATATATTTTATTACTATTTCTTAAAACATACAAAATAGAAAATTAAAACATTTTAAAAATACAAAAAAAAAAAAGTTTTAAAATAATTATGGCGTTTGCCTACTTTTGAACATTTCAGAATGACATTTTTTGGAAAAGTTCTCATTAAAAGGCTTACATTCTTAAAAAATAACTTATTAATTTTATTATTATTATTTCTTACAAAATAAAACAGTACATGATTATTAAAATATAAAATATTTGTCAAATAATTGATTCAAATAAATACATAATTTTGGCATTATATTTATAACAACTTTTTTCCACCAGTTAAAAACCAGTGGGTATAAATAACTCACAGGAAGCTGTTTAGTTGTCCCGTTGAGAGGAAAGTCACAAAAAATGAAATCATCACAACACTGACCACAGTAGACTCTCTAAATTTCTTAAAATATATCCAATAATTTTGCCTGTTTTTTAGGCTAAATATAATATTTATTACTTATTCATGGTTGTTATACAGCCATTTGTAAAGTAATAAAATTGCAATTTTTCAAAATCGATTTTTAAAAGATTTTCTTTTTTATCATCACAGCCATCCTTATTTGTCATTGACCCACTAAACTAATAATGTATTAAGTACTGTCACTGCGATTTCTGTGTTTGTGTGTGTAGTTCCTGGATCTCCGTGTGGCTGTTCTGGGTAACGTGGACTCAGGGAAGTCAACTCTGCTGGGGGTGCTGACTCAGGGCGAGCTGGATAACGGACGGGGCAGGGCCAGGCTCAACCTCTTCAGACACCTGCATGAGATTCAAACCGGACGGACGTCCAGCATCAGTTTTGAGATCCTGGGATTTAACAGCAAAGGAGAGGTGAGACAAATATTCAGGAATTTAAACCAATAACCTCCTGCTTACTAGCATATAAGCATGTTGCTTTGAGAAATACTGGTCTTTTTCATTGTTTTAGGTTGTAAACTACAGTGACTCCCGTACAGCAGAGGAGATCTGTGAGAGCTCTTCTAAGATGATCACTTTTATTGACCTGGCTGGTCATTATAAGTACTTGAAGACCACTATATTTGGCCTGACAAGCTACTGCCCAGACTTTGCCATGCTGGTGGTGGGAGCCAATACTGGCATTGGTTTGTATTTATGCATATATATTTATATTGCTCTATAAGTTGTAAAAGTGATTTATGAGTAATGAGCAAGCCATAAAAACTTGAACTAAAGCTGGCCGATATGTTCATTATTTACAATAAAATCAGTATTTTACACTATTTAAAATATTTACACCACTGTTCAAAGGTTTGGAGACTATTTTTTAAAGAAGTCTCTTATGCGCACCAAGGCTGTATTTGTTTGTTTAGAAATACAGTAAAAACTGTAATGTGAAATAATATTACAATTTAAAAAAAAAAAAAAAATTTCTATTTGAATATATTTCCAAATGTAGTTTATTCCTGTGATGCAAATCTGAATTTTCAACCAGAATTTTTACTCCAGTGTCACATGATCCTTCAGAAATCATTCTAATATGCTGATTTGGTGAAAAGAAACATTTCTTATTATTATCAATGTTGAAAACAGTTGTGCTGCTTGATATTTTTGAGGAAATCATGATACATTTTCCAGAATTATTTAGGATAGAAAGTTCAAAAGAACTGCATTTGTTTGAAATCGAAATCTTTTGAAATATTGTAAATGTCTTTACTGTGACTTTTCATCAATTTAATTAGAGATGCACCGATTGCAATTTTCTTGGCCGATTCCGATTTCCGATTTTTTTGTTAGTGTGATCTGCCGATAACGATTTTTGTCGATTCCGATTTTATTTCTAAGAACTATAATTGACAGCATATACAAACAAAAATCTACTTTTCTTCAACGCAAAGTTTTATTTTCATAAAAAAAACACAAGTAAAATGTCAGTAATAAAATAAGAACAAATAAAAAAATGGCAAACAACAGCACAAATAAATGCAATAGAATAAAGAGAGCTAAGTTTTTCAGGTTAAGTAGGTTTTTATTCAGGTAAGAATACTACAGAAATTAAAGTAATCAAATGTAAAATAACACATCCAGTGTTATTTTACATTTGATTACTTTAATTTCTGTAGTCTTCATTGTAAAAATTAAATACAGATTAATGCTTACCATTAAAGTTATAAAACGTATTCAGTCAAGAGCAGAAAATGATTTTCTTTGTCTTTTGTTCTTTGATTAACATGACAGACAGTAGCAGGAATATTGGACTGCGGACGTGAGAGAGAGAAGGGGTCGTCGGAGAGAAGAGAGCGAGAATGCGTGGCTGACGTTATTGCCTGTGCAGCTGGTAACAAAACGGATAATCGGGAAGAAGTGATACTGACCGACCGATCACCGATCCGGGCCGATCATGAGGAAAATCGGACGATTCCGATCCCTGGCCGATCGATCGGTGCATCTCTAAATTTAATGCATCCTTGCTGAATACAAGTATTACATTTTTTCAAAAGCCATATAATCTTATTGAGCCCCAAACTTTTAAACGATAGTGCATATTTCTATATTATTTTTAAGATCAAATTATAAATCATTAATCAAAACCACCCAGATCACCCAACCCTACTTTTAACAAATTTTGTGTCATAACATATTATATGTCATTCCCACACTGTAAAATTCTCCCAGCTGGCACAACTAGAGAGCATCTGGGTCTGGCGATGGCGCTGAAGGTGCCCATATTCATTGTGGTGAGTAAGGTGGACCTCTGTGGTAAAAGCACAGTGGAGAAAACGGTCCGTCAGTTGGAGAGAGTGCTCAAACAGCCCGGCTGCAATAAGGTCCCAATGGTGGTGTCCAACCCTGATGATGCCGTCACGGCTGCACAGCAGTTTGCACAATCCTCCAGGTACATGTGTGTATGAGAATATAGGGGTTATTATACACTTTACTGCATTTTTTCCCACCTGAAGTATTTTTGAGCCTCACAGTTAAACAGCCTATTTTTGGTACTGTACCTTTAAGACTTAAATATGTAACTTGCTCTAAAAATACCCTACAAAGTACCTTACCGCTGATAGCTGTTCATCACTAGTTTGTACAGTATGCGTGTGTGTAATGATGCATCGCTCTCCCTACAGTGTGACGCCCATCTTCACCCTCTCCAGTGTGTCTGGGGAGAATCTGGACCTTCTGAAGGTATTTTTCAACATTCTTCCTCCTCTGAGCAACAGTAAGGAGCAAGAGGAGCTCATGCAGCAGCTCATGGAGTTCCAGGTACAAACACACTCTTACCAACGCGTACATATCTTGTCTTAATTCTAAGATATTCCAAGATATTTGGTGTCAAATTGATGTGTTCTTAAAGGTGGATGAGATTTACAGTGTTCCTGATGTAGGAACAGTAGTTGGTGGAACACTGTACAGGTCAGTTCACATCTGTTATGTCAATCTTGTCTGTTCATCTGTCTAATAACTGCCTATCGTCCACCTAGCAATGCACTAGCAACCACTCTTTTTTCTTGTAGTAAGTATATACTGTGTATGTGTGTGTGTATATATATATATATATATATACACTACAAGAGAAAAGAAAAAAACATGGTTACTATAGTTATACCATGGTAACCAAAAATTAACTATGGTTTTGTTACACTAAACATAGTTTAACAATGGTATGTGTAGTAAAACTGTGGTTATACAAATGGTAATCAATACACCAAAAAACATGGTCATTACACTTTCACTATAATAAAACCATGTTTTATAAGGGACAAATAAATACCCTAGCAACCATTCAGAACACCTTAGTAATTCCATAGCATCCTAGCAACATCTTAGCAACCACCTAGATCACTCTAGCAACAACAAAGTAACATACTTGCAACTACTCGGAACTCTTTAGCTTTGTAAACCTTCTTAGCAAACCCCATAGCAATGCACTCTCAAATGCTCAGAACACCTGGGCAACGCCCTAGCAACACCTTAGAAACCACTCACTCTTCTAATTGTCTCTCAAATGCTCAGAACACCTGGGCAACGCCCTAGCAACACCTTAGAAACCACTCACTCTTCTAATTGTCTCTCAAATGCTCAGAACACCTGGGCAACGCCCTAGCAACGCCTTAGAAACCACCCACTCTTCCAACTGTCTCGCAAACGCTCAAAACACCTAGGCAACGCCCTAGCAACTCCTTAGAAACCACCCACTCTTCCAACTGTCTCGCAAACGCTCTGAGCACCTAGGCAAAGCCCTAGCAACACCTTAGAAACCACCCACTGTTCCAAATGCCTCTGAAATGCTCAGAACACCTGGGCAATGCCCTAGCAACTCCTTAGAAACCACCCACTCTTCCAACTGTCTCTCAAACGCTCGCAACACCTGGGCAACGCCCTAGAAACCACCCACTCTTCCAACTGTCTCTCAAACGCTCGGAACACCTAGGTAACGCCCTAGTAATGCCTTAGAAACCATTCACTCTTCCAACTGTCTCTGAAACGCTCAAAACACCTAGGCAACACCCTAACAACACTGTAGAATCCTCTCACTCTTCCAACTGTCTTATAACATTCTCACAACCACCTAAAACACCCTAGTGACTGCTTATCAAGGCCCTAGCAACCACTCAGAACAACCTATCAAACCGTAGCAACTCAGAGCAATGTTTTAGCATTGTAGAATTTGATTTACACACACATTTCAATGCCTTGCGAAATCTTCATGTGGAAGTCTTTCACCCTCTTATGGAATCCCTGATCTCCCAGTTTCCAGTTTGAAATGACCAGCAAAAATCTGTTAAATGATGGTTAATGTGACCAATCCTTAAGGCCTATATAAACTTCAAGGCTTTTTCAAGCCAATCAATGTTCAGTTTGTCTTGACGAGCTTTCCTTTTCTAGTTCATAATTGACTTTCTATTCACACACAGTGGTGTGTGTCGTGAAGGAGACCGGCTGGTTGTGGGTCCCACCGATGATGGGCGGTTCCTGAGGTTGAAGGTGTGCAGTATCCACAGAAATCGCTCTGGCTGCCGTGTGCTAAGAGCCGGACAGGCCGCCACACTTGCACTTGGGAACTTTGATCGCTCATTACTACGAAAGGTCTGATCTCAAAACGAGACCAAGAGGAGAAAAGACTAAATAAAGTCCTTATGTAGATATATCTTTATGATGTCTTTGATCTTGAGTGTTTGTGTTTTTAGGGCATGGTCATGGTGAGTCCCAAAATGAACCCTACAATTTGCTGGCAGTTTGAGGCCGCCATAGTCCTCCTGTTCCACGCCAAGACTTTCCGCCGTGGTTTCCAAGTCACGGTACACGTGGGGAATGTAAGGCAGACCGCCACGGTGGAGTGTCTCCTTGGAAAGGTGTAGATTTTTTAAACTTCCTGACATAGGAATCAAGTCTTTACAAACGAACTTGACTTACTTTCTTCTGTAGAAAACAATGTTCTGAGAAGTGTTACTCCTAAAAATAAAGTTCTTTATTGTCATCTTTTGTTCCATGAAGAACCTCAAATATCCATGGAATCTTTCCATTGCACAAAAGGTTCTTTATAGTGGAAAAAGTTTCTTCATATTATCAAAAAGTTCTTTAACTTTAAAGGGATAGTTCACCCAATAATGAAAATTCTGTCATTAATTACTCACCCTCATGTCGTTCCAACCTGGCAAGACCTTCATTCAACTTTAGAAGACAAATTAAGATATTTTTGATGAAATCCGAGAGTTTTCTGACCCTCCATAGACAGCAACAGAACCACGATCAAGGCCCAGAAAGGTAGTAAGGACATTGTTAAAATAGTCCATGTAACATCAGTGGTTAAACCTTAACTTTACAAAGCTACGAGAATACTTTTTGTGCACAAAGAAAACAAAAATGACTTTATTCAAAATTCTTCTCTTCCATGTCACCGTCTGCCGCCATTCATATGAGTATCATGACGCATGCGCTGCACCTTGTTTACAAGCAGAGGAATGCACACACATGCATTGTAGTACTCTCGTGAATGGTGGCATACGGTGATGCGGAAGAGAAGAATTGCTGAATGAAGTTATCTTTGTGCACAAAAAGTATTCTCGTAGCTTCGGAAAAGTACGATTGAACCACTGATGTCACATGGACTTTTTTAACTGTTTTAACAATGTCCTTAATACCTTTCTGGGCCTGGGAACCTTTCGGTTGCATTGCTGTCTATGCAGGGTTAGAAAGCTCTCGGACTTCATCAAAAATACCTTAAATTGTGGTCCGAAGATGAACAAAGGTCTTGCGGGTTTGGAACAACATGAGGATGGGTAATTAATGACAGAATTTTCATTTTTGGGTGAACTAACCCAAATTGTTTTTTAACTAAATGTTCCATGAAAGGTTATTTGGGAAACAAAAATAATTCAATTTTGGAACCTTTATTTTGAAAAGTGTATCATCATAGAAAAATGTGTGTGTTTGTCCTCTAGGAGGAGCTGCGGACAGGTGAGAGAGCCGTAGTGTGTTTCAGATTCTTAAAGCATCCTGAGTACTTGCGCGTGGGAGCCAAGCTGCTCTTCAGAGAGGGGGTGACCAAAGGCATCGGACACGTGACGCACCTCCTACCCTCAACCCAGAACCACGTGCCTGATCAGAACCGCAACCAGAACCACAGTTAGACACATCGGGAGTAACACCATTAATCAAAAGAGGACATTTGACTGCATCTGCAGTGGTTTCCTGTCCTTGCCTTAAGTTTGCATCCCCTAGTTCAATCGTGCACCTTTCATTTCCACTCTGTAGATTTGCCTATATTAATCGCAGATTTGCCTGTGTGTAAATGCTCTTGGTTCCTGTGACATTTGGAGGGTTGATTAGAGTATATGTCTGCTAGGTGTAATGGAGCTTGGAAACCTCTCCTATTTTTGCACATGTGCGTGTTTCACATCTTAAGTTAAAGCTGTCTGACCTTGAGTGAAGCATTTGGGAGTCGCTAAGTTGGGTATCTGGAGCAGATTTCTGCAGGAATTCCTGCCTGCAGACTGCATTATAGATATGAAAACATAATCATAGCATCGGAAGATTCATTATTTCAGCTCTACTAACGTCTTCAGGTCCTCAGTGATATTAAATACATGACATTAGCCCAGGAGATCTGACAACACTTTATTTTTTTTTTTTTCACAAAGTGTACACCTTGAGACATGGGTCTTCAACCTTGTTCCTGTAGACCAGGGGTCCTCAACTCTGGACCTCGAGATCCACTTTCCTGCAGAGTTTAGCTCCAACCCTAATCAAACACACCTGAACAAGCTAATCGAGGTCTTTAGGATTACTACAAAGTTGCAGGTAGGTGTGTTTAATCCAGGTTGAAGCTAATCCCTGCAGGAAAGTGGATCTCAAGGTTCAGAGTCAAGGATCCCTGCTGTAGACCCACTGTCCTGCCAAGTTTAGCTACAACCCTAATCACATACAGCTGGACCAGCTAATCAAGGTCTTCAGGATCACATGAAAAATCACAGGCCAGGTGTGCTGAATCAGGTTGGAAATGAAATTTGAAGGACAGTGGGTGTCCAAGAGCAGGGTTAAAGGCCTAGGCTTTAAAGTATACTTAAATTTGGCACGATGGCTGAGTGTTTGTGTATAGCCGAATACATAGCTTTTCAAAGTATACTCCATTTGATGGCCAGTTAGTGTAAGAAAAATTAAAGCCACATATGCGAGTTGAGTGTACAGCATATGCACGGTTAGAAAAATCAGACTACGCACATACTATGCTGGTGACGAAATTTGGAAAGTCTGCAGTGCACACCCCAGTTTACACATAATAACCCAAGCTGAGCTAACCACTGTATGATTTCTACAGTCCTTTATGATTGTTGCCTGTCAGTTTGTATGATATACGTTGTATCTATGATTTGTCACAAAGGCTATTAGTCAGAATATGTGAACATGATACATTAAATGAAATTGTCTTGAATGGAAGAACTGTAGCCGAAATCGTAGAGTAATGCGAGGCTGGCTGTAGTCACAAATGGAAACAAGATTGTGATGGACAAAAGTATATTCCATTTAATGCGTTGTAGTTTTACAGTTGTTCCATTATGGTTGAACGAAATTGAAATTTCAAAAGTTGAAAATGTCTTTCCACAAATTTTTAGTGAATGAAAAACGGGGCGTAACACGTTAATGAAACCTAAAATGCAAGATTTTAATTTAAATGAATCGGACAATCCACAAATTGTTTTGCAAAAGATTTACACATTAATTTTGTTTAAGGTTCATGAATAAATGACCAGGCTTGTTTTTGTTCACTTGTACCATTTCGGTGCTATTGTTAGTGTGATTGAATATCGCCCCCTATCTTCAGGACAGAAGAGGTAACCGAAAGGGAATTTTTGGAGCTCTAGGGTTGTAGGAACAGTCAGGCATGATTGTTTTTTTTTCACTAGCTTGATTACATTGTGCCTAATTCTAAATGTATTCACAGATGACGCATATTGCACAATTGTTTGTAAGCAAATATAAGGTTTAGGTCATTTCCGATGGCTTACAGGGTTAACTGGGTTAAACTTATGGCAGCTTTGTGTGATGGGCATTTGTCTTGAGCATGCACAGTCACCCAGATAACCATTGTGTTGTTGTGTGTCTCGTTCACTCCATTTCGAGATATTGTTAAAATAATTGCAAAAATATTGAATACTGATCATAGATATAACTACCATTTGAAGTTACTAAACTAATGTGACGGCTAATGTGTAAAAGCTCATTTCATTTAACATTGAGCATCAGTAATGAAGCTTGAGCAGAATGCATTTACAAGTGTAAATAATTAGTAAAACCTTGATTTTACAGACATTTTTACGAAGAAATTCGTTCTGCTTTTGTTTTATAAATGAGGCCCAATTGCTTTCATAACTTCCGCTGTTGGTCAACAGTGCATGTTGTGCTTACACAAATAATAATTAGTATTGTCTGATGTGCAACTGGCGGGCTTTATTACATTTGAGATGTATCTTCATTTCATGTACTTCTGCAAAAAGTCTTCAAAAACCTAGAAACCAGACTAGTTATCTACTGCTTTGCTATTAGTTCCGATGTAATAAAGAATCAAATGTTTTATTGTGGAAACCCCTTGTTTGTAATTATTTAAGGACAGGAAATACAATGGTTTGTCATGGAAATGACAAGTTAAAAACAAGTAAAGCTCTTTTCAGCAGACTATATATGATTATTTTAAACTGTCCCACATTTGGGACAATTAAAAAAGAACAGAAAATGGGTTTACAGTGCACTTGTAAGTCTATGGGGCAAGTGTATTTGCAGAAATGTGAAGCTTGTAATTTTATGGTATATAATATTTGTACATTTTGTGCATAGATTACCTGGTTTGGTCTCGTGTCTATATTTTTTAAACAGTGTATTTTAATGTTTAAACTTATTCCAGTGCCTTGTCGCATAGACTTCCATAGTAAATGTGTTTACCAGAAATGTTTTTTTGAACCAGAAACCAAATAGGGAAAAGGACAAAAACAGTGAGTCAAGAGTTTTGACAAGTTTTATTATGATACATGAAAGCTGTCTTTGCGCAATAAATTGTTAATTGTTCACAGAACACACTGTTGTAGTGTAGCAGCAAGCACCATAAGAATAGGTTTACGGAACATGGCATTATGAATAAAAGAAAAAATATATAATATAAAATCTTATTTTCCTTCAAAAGATGAATGGTTTTTTGTTTTGCACTTTGCGAAACAAATCAGCATTTGTGAATACAGAAACTTTGTTCAAAAAGATGAAAAATTACATCACTAAATCTGACATCCTTCATATGAGATATAATACTTAACTCTCTTTCACTTAACTACACATGCTTAAACCTGCTTCTGTAATGTGCATCCAAGTCTACCTCTTCTACCAAAGCTTTTAACCTTAAAAAACCTGTATAACATACCAACATGAAACTATTCTTATTTTTTTTCACCATTTAAATGTGATGCGTTCATCTTCAAAACTTCCTTTTACTCTGCAGAATTAAGTGACTGTTGAAATGGTACACAAAACTCCAGGCACATCAGCGCTGATTTGGAGAGTTTACGCAAGGCTCCTCTGTCTGGGCTTGATTCTGGGGTATAGCTACAGAAGAAAAACAAATATGAGCAATATGTAGTAAAAAAAACAACAAAAAGTATGTAATTTCCCCAAAATGCATTTCCTCACCCCGAGGTGGTTGCGAGGTATGTAGCCCTCATTGTCGGCACATCTTGCCCACCACCACTCCGTTTCTTCACTGTCTTCTCTTCGTAGGACGGTCAGACAGTCTCCTTCCTCAAAGGACAATTCATCCGGGCTCTCAGCGTCATAGTCCCACAGGGCATAAACAACGCCCCGGTTCATGATGCCCATCTTCTCCTGCACACCTGTGAAAAAACATCTCAACGATATAATTTTATTGCGACAAGTTACCGGTTGAGCTACAAGAAGTCCTCTTTCGTAAAGTTTCATAAGGGGCTTTCGCACCAGAGGAACCTATTCAGAACTATTGGTGCAAGTTCCCGCTTTTTGGCATGTTCGCACTGCAGGAACTACGTACTTGGTTCTAGGAACTCTGTTTATAGGAACTAATTTAGCTCCTACTTCAAAGTAGGGTCTAAAACAGTTCTATAGGAACTAACAGTGACGTAAGTGTATGCTGATTGTCCAAACGCATACGAAACACTGGCTATCCAGCATCTTTGAAAGCCATGTAAAAATGTTTTCTCCACGAACATGCAAAGCAGCGATTACGCATTTACCTGTTGTCTGCAGCACTGTCCTTTTCTCAGCATCGATATGTAACACTGCAAGTTGTCATAGGAGATTTAGTCAGATTTGTGTGCTCTACCCCGTCCACACGGAGACACGTTTAGCTGTATACGTAAAGATTTTGTATCGTATTGGCGTTTCGTCCAGACGGATCCGACGTTTTGGGAGAGTGAAACTGCTATTTTTTGAAACCTTGTCCCACAGTGGATAAATCTGAAAACGACACCCTTGCATTTTCATGTGTACAGCCAATCCATATATTTCATGAAACGATGACGTCATCAGCCCACGTCTCGCCCCTAGTCAGACACCGCTACGTCACATAACAGCAACAACAACATGAACAAACACTGAACGATTGTCTTTTTATTAACTAACATTAACAGATTAATAAATGTAGTGTTCCATGTTCGTTTGTATACCGCACCCAAGGTTTATGCTCATGCTCCAAGTCTTCTTCTCCGTTTATAGTGTATCTCTGTGGCAGAATTACAGTGCCACATACTGGTCTGGCATGTATACTGCATCGTTTTGTGTCGGTTTCATGGTTTCGTGTGTACACAGGTATTTCTTGAGATAAGGAAAAAAAAGATCGGATAGGGAAAGCTCTAGCTTCGTGTGGATGTGGCCTAAATCTCGTAAGTTGTGTATTCCATTTCTGCTATCACGAAACCCGTGACACACATTAAAAACAGCTCCGATCACAGCGTCCTCCATTCACCGGTTATTGATGTTTGTAAATGCCACGGATAAAGACGTCGTGTCGGCCACTTCAGAGTTCCTGCTGCCGGTGCGAATGCAACCAGAAAAATAGGCCTGCTGGCTAGTTCCTAGAACTACGCGGTGCGAAAGCGCCTATAATGGGAGGACTGGTCTCTCACCATAGAGAAACTGCGAGCATTGGGCGTAACCTTCTTCCATCTCCTCGCACTTGTCAGCCGCCGTCTGCATATCGCTGTAGGTTGTGGCATATACGGCAGCTCCCGATTCCACCAGGAACTTACATACTTGCACGTTATTACAGGAAGCAGCGCAGTGCAGGGGAGTCCTAAGAGAGAGAAAGACATTTTATTTCGTTGTATTAAATTATGGACAGAATTTTACTGGGTTTACATAAATGTTTTTCACTCACCATCCATCGCTGTCTGCGGCATTCGCGTTTACTCCAAACTGCACCAGGAACTTTACGATTTCCGTGTGTCCAGCACACACAGCATTGTGCAGAGCAGTAATGCCCTCATCATTGGGTAAACTGGGGTCTTCCACCTGTATATGACGTACAGACATATACTTGAAATCCCAACTAGCTATATGTCCAGTTGTTATATTACTCACTAGTTGACCAAGAATGTAACTGATCTTGGCCTATTTCTCACCTCATATATGATCCTCTGGACAAGGTCGTACTCGCCCTCTAAAGAAGAGTCTAACAGAAGGGCCAGAGGGTTAAAGTGCACACGCATCCCGTGGTTGATGCGCTCCGAGTCTGTCTTACGCAGGTTTGTTCTTTTGCCCTGTGAAAAAAAGGATGGGTGAATAGATATTTAGTTATATGCTAGAAGGAAATTCTGTACATAATCGATGTGTATCTTGTGGTAGAGTTCTTGGATATGAAGTACTGATATTAGGTGTTAGCCTGCCATGAACCACTCTTTCATTCCGCATATTAAAAGCCCATTGAGGGTCACTGTTTGCCACTTCTGCTCCATTTAAATGTTTAATGCGACCTGTGCAGAGTGCTCAGAATCTTAGTGTGGCTAGTTGCTAAGCAACAGCCCAGAATGGATGGTTTGATCGGAATCTCTACTGACCTGACTTGTCTTCACCCTCTTTCTCTGTCTCTCCCTCTTCTCTCTCTGTGGCCATACTTATGTAGGCTAAATGGCTATATAGTTTTCTATAAAGACAAGGAACCTGTCTCAAATGCCCCCCTCATCCCTTGGAGTCTTCTTCTGAGTCTAAACTTCAGATATGTAATACCACATAGCTTGCTGATTCATAAAATGACAAATGGGACACCTTATGGTCTCGTGGACTTCAAGCCCAAAAGACCATTGGGTGTCCTAATTGTCATTTTATGAATCAACAGGCATCCGCTTTTGTGGCCATGATGCACCCTCTATGTACCATTGTCCACATCATGTACACCATTTCGGAAACCATCCATGACTCCCTGCGTAATATTGTCAGGCTCCTTTGTGCATAGAGTTTGACTATAATGGACTGCTCACTGTTGAGTATCTGACTAAGCTTAAATGCTTGCACACCGTAGCACAGCAAAAAAAGACTTTCAGTTTCAACCTAATCCATCAAGTACCCTGCTGCTGGGATACTCTTCCCATCAGTGCACATTTTAGATGTCTACCTTATCTCACCCATTGCAGATGTCTCGGGGTCTCTACTATCAAATTGATGAGTTGAATCAAATGTGTTTGATTAAAAAGACAGCAAAAAATGCTAGAGATTGCAAAGTTGCTATAAGACTGGTTACTAGAAGGTCAACTGGAATCCTGTTTTTGGCAACTTTTACTGAAAGCGATTGACTTTGGGTCACTACAATTTGATGTCAGTGTGAATGTCCCTTCGGTCCATCTACAGATATGGTTTTAGATTTCGGGAATGTTGTAGTACCTACCGGTGGTAGCATGACCTGTCCTGTGACCTCTGGAGCCTTCATATTGACGCTGTCCTCGCCTGGTCCCTCCTGGTCTGTCATACTGGGATATGGAGGTGGAGGGTAAGGTGGGTACTCCTCAACATACGGTTCTGGGGCGGCTGGGCCATAGACCTCCTGTTCTTCCTTCAGCGGTGGTTCCTTCGGTACAGTGCTAGAAATGGTGCTGTCATCCAGGATAGGCGATCGAGGTGGAAGCGGTGGAGGTGTCAGCTCCTCCTCCTCTTTCTCACACTCAGGTATTGTTGTATCACGGTGTCCCTCGTGGGGTCTAGTGCTCTCGTCAGCTACTGGCCTGCATCCATCCTCGCCTTCTGCCTGAAAGAAGGCAGCTGGGGTTATAGTGGTCTCCATGGCAGCCAACGTGGTCTTCTGGTAGAGGAGCTTCTGGATGTTGGGTCCACCAGGCCCCTCAGATTCTGTTATAGAGCCACGCTTTTTAAGAGGTCTGGGCGCATGGTGCAGTCTTTTCCTCAGGGCCTCCAAATCAGCATCGCTCTGGAGCCGATGGGAATTTGAGAGGAACGGGAGAAGTTTGGTTGGGCTGAGGGGCCGGGGAACGCGTTCTACCTCCTGGCCCTCAACAGAGGAGGATGCAGGGGCCATATTGTTGCCCTGGTCCACTTGGTCACCATCTAGACCT